ACCCTCAGCTCGTACTTCTTGGTGCCGCTCTGCTTGGGGCAGTAACTGACGCCCTTGTAGCCGCTGCTGCCGCTGCTGCTGGCGGCCAGAGTCAGCCCCTCCCTCTCCGCCTGCCGTATCGCCTCTGCGCCAGCGGCAGAGGGGGCAGCGCGGGGCTGCAGCAGCTTTGCGGCGTCGGCGCGGCCGTACTCTGAGCGAGCGTAGGCAACGGCCGCCTCTTCGGCGGTGTCGAAGTGGCCGAGGGAGACACGCTTGCCGCCATCGTTCACCTTCGCCTCAAACTTCTGCTCGCGGCGTTTGTAGCTCACGTTTTTGTAGCCAGTCGTGCTGTTCTTGAGGATGGCTGGGATCAGCATGAGGCGCTCGGACACCTGTGGCCGCTGGGTGTTCTCGGGCGACATGAAGCACACAAAGAATTGGGACTGGGAATGGCTTAGAGCAGGTGCTCACGCCGCGGCTCCGTGCGCCGACCAGGATGATTTTTCTTGCACTTTAAAGAATTCTAGCAAGGCAAGCCCCTCTCACAGCAGACTGGCACGAACTAGCACCACAAAAGGCACAGCCACTTTAAAGAAAAGGAAAAGCCTGAGTTCATGAGCCAGTTCTCCGCGCGGCGCGCGTGGCGTCCTGGGGCGTCGTGTCGCTTTGAGATCTGATAGTCATCTGGGGGCAGACCACCGACCGGCGGGGGGGTCCCCACGAGGTAGGTAGGGGGGGTGGGTACAAAATGGTGGATGCTAGCATGAGCCCGATGCGTCGCAGTGCTCTTGCGTTTCGGCGGTACTCGCATAATGTGGGTAAACGAAAAAAGTAGCGCCCAATTCGTCTACGTACGGCTTAGTGTGTGGTTGGGGTGGCCTCAGGCATCCCCAAGGGAGCCTCTGCGGTGCCACATAAGCAGCTGAGTGATTGTCGAGACTTTAAAGGATTCGTTTGAAGAAACGCAAACAAGACAAACGGTACTATGGTCACCAGTAAACGAAAATTCGACTTTGAGGGATCATATCTCAAAAGGCTGGGTGAGAGCATAGCATTATTGTTGCATATTATACCACATAAGGTCAAACTTGACCCCAGAAGCATCAAGAACCCGATGCTCCGGCTCGACTGTGCCGGCACACTGCCTCCTCGCGCACGCTGCTCGCAGGCCGTTGCGGCCCGTGGTGCGCCAGAGAGAGAGGTCGACGCGTTGCCCCCGCCGGCGACCCCGCGCGGCTCAGGCCAGCCAGAAGGTGTGTGGTGACGGCACCGTGGCAGGAGTGCGGAGAAGAGCTCGCCGAACGCGAGCAGCAGATGGCCAAAGTGTGCCAGCGCGAGAGCCTCGCGAGCGGGCGCAGAAGGAGCTCGCCGTGACACGATGCCGGGCGGTGGTGGTGCTCTGGCGACTGTGCACAGTGGGCAAAGTCAGGCTGCAACAGGGCAGCACGTTGGTAGTGCCCTGCTGCAGCCTGGCCTGACATGCACAGGGCGAACAGAGGCGGTACTATCGTCCGGCGCTCGTCACCGAATCTGGGCGAACTTCGACCGCCGCCACAGCTCACCACGAGCACGCAGCGACAAAATGTTGACTGTATGGAAGTCGAGGCTGGTCCATAGGAAGAGGCTGCCGTGCGAGCCGGCAGCAGGCTGGCTCGTCGTGGACTGCCGCGGCGACTTTTTTCGGTGTCTTTCTTGATAGTACCGAATTCGGTACTTTCGTTTACCCACACTCTGCGAGTAGTGATCTGATCACCCGAATACCACGTACGTTCGGATCGCTCCTCATCGCTCGCAAACCCCGTCAGCAGTCCTCCTCCGGGAATGTACGTAAGAGAGAGAGACGTAGGGCCCTTAGGGGCCTAGAGAACACAACCCCCCTCTCTCGTTTCTCCCAGTAAGCTAAAAGTACGTACGTACACTGAAAATGACGCTCCTATCAGTGGAAAGGAGGATTTCAGGTATAATTCATGTATGGGAGTATGCTAGTACAACACTGCTGAACTGAAATACACACGTATTTCCAGTCCAATCACAAGTACACATACTTTAAATACTTGATTTTATCTCTTTCAGTGTGTGGGCGAAGTAGCGGAGTAACTGGGAGGCTGCGGCGCAATACGACGCAATATGGCAGTAGGCGCGGCACGCTAGGACGTATGCAGGTACGCCGGGCGCCTCCCAGAGTATGGGTACTGGTGTACTGCATCATACTTGGGTATGTCGAGCCTTGGAGTATCGCAGTATCTCGGAAGCACCAGTGCAGTATCTGCCAGTATTCTCCAGTATTCTCCAGTATGGCCCAGTACAGCAGTATGAGGGGAGGCATCGGGCCAGACAGTGACACAGCAGGTAGCGCGCCTCTGGCTCAATTTTGCTCTTCTTGAAACCGGTGATGCTGCGCAGTTTTGCCAGGGCCGCCACTGTCCTCGTGTTTGATCCCGACCGAGTGCGCAACGTCGGGAAGCGACACATACGTAATGTGTGCATGTGCATGTGCACATCGAGGGGGAGAGGTGAGAAGCTGGCAGTAGCTCCAAAGTCGCAATCGTTGGCGTTGGAATGGGACGGCTCGAGCAAATGCATCAATCCCGCAGTGCCGAAGGTAGTGGTAACAGGATGTTGTACGGGGGTGCGCACGGCAAGAGTTCTCACGAATGCTGGTGCCGGCTGTATTTGGCGCTGCGTGTCAGCACAGGAGTATGTCTGGCCAGGCAAGCTGAATGTGGACATCTCGTCCCCGTTCCTAAATGAATGAAGAGACCAAACTTTGGAGCCGCTCTTGTCCTGGGCAACGTCCTGTCGCGTTTGCCAGTCTGCGGTCGCGCTATCTGCCAGCCTCGTTCGTTGCACCAAGACGGCAGCCGTGCGCACGAGGTATGTGCGTGAGTCGTTTTTGTGTGTGCGGTTCGGGAAACATGCGATTCAATGCGCAGTGGCGCGTCGCCTTTGCTGGAGAGTCGACGGCGGCCTCTCGAGTGGCAAGTCCTCAACATGAAAAAAACAAAAGAAGGACGAAAGCAGAGTCTTCAATACCTAAATTTGGGGGGACGCACGAATATGAGGTTTGTGCGACACATGCATTCGGTCGGCATGCTCGCCCTCGTGGCGGGCATGCCCCTGACCTACACCGTGCGGGACTGTGGCACCAGGCGCGGTACACTGTATGACACTGGCTTCCTTCCAAGCACGTTGCAGACGGCTTGGGACAAATACAGCGGCGCGGTCGGCAACGTCCTGCCGCCCACCAGAAGCGACCACAAGCGGATTGTGTGGTCATCTGCTTGCGTGTGCGATGTGTTGTGGCGCAGATTGCGCTTGTGCGATGTGTTGTGGCGCAGATTGCGCTTGCGTCCCAAGCCATTGGCCTGGTGCAGCGCCAGCCCCCCGTTTTCTGATTCGAATATTTCAGTAAGGCAAAGCTTTCTTTTCTTTTTCCAGGCGCGGTCGGGGGCACTTGGGGTGCGGCGCGACTTGCACTAGTGCGCCGTTCCGTGGGGCTTGGCGACAGAGCGATCGCCGTGCTGTGGATCATCGGGGCACAAATCCACAAAGGCCTCTCCTCCCTCCGCGTTGCGACGAGCTCAGCCACAAGTACGACGGTTGCGGACTGCGCATTCTGGGGACGGTGGACACAATCCATTGGTTCATCCCGTCTGGTGCGTCCCGTCCTAGCACCCCTGCTCGATCGCCGTGTTCCGCCACCACCCACGAGAGTCACATCTCATGAGTCACACCTCGCCACAGTCAAACTCGCATCAGTGGGAGTGGGAAGAGGCGGCGTGGTGGCTCTGCGTGTGCGTGGGCGCGCGCGCACCTGCAACCACAACCTGTTTGTGATGCCGCTGCAGGATAGGCCGGCCTCTTCAGGATGCCTCGTTGCCTCTTTAGGACTGCCCATCGACGAGCGCTGGATCAATCCATTGAGCAAGGACCGCCCAGCAGCAGTTGCAGTATGCGGCCGGCATTAAGCTAGCTAGCCCTTGCAAGGCCAGGTGCGCCGCCGAACGCCGCTGCTAGCAGTTGCAACCTGGGAGTGTGAGTTCTGGCTCCGGGTGCTCTAGTGAGTCTGGCAGCCGAGTGGTAGATCCCGCCGCAGCACTGCACATGCACCAGTATGGAGCAGTATTCTCCAGTATTCTCCAGTATGCCCCAGTACAGCAGTACGGATGGAGCTGTGATGCAGTATCCAAGTATGATTACTTCGCCGTATTGGGATATGGTGTGCATGTGAGGTACAGGAGTAAGGGGAGGTATCTCATGCAGTATTGCAGTATGATGAGACTGCATGTCGCGTATCAGGCTGTACCCACGTACCGGTTGCGCTGGCTCGGTGTACGGGAGTGGGGATATCTGACCAAACTAGAGGAACGCATCAGGGCAGCTATGGCAATATTGGCGGCTATTCTTGCAATATTGTAGTACGACACAGACGCGGCGAGATAAAAATACCTCATATCTGAGATCCTTCCTTCCACTTATATGGCAGCTCTCGATGTCGTCAAGCACTCGTTCTGGCCGGGGGGGGCGTATCGTGTGTGAGTGAGTTTTCAAACCACGCACATGCTGGCCCCGCCCAAGCCGCGGCCGCCGCCGCACCGCTCCTTATGCCTGCGCATTACTTTCAGCTGCTGTACCTTTGTGACTCTGGCATTCCTCGGCCTGATCGCGGCCGAAGCAGCGGCGGGCGGGAAACCATCGTGCGAGCACCCCATGCTGACTTTTATCGACGCAAAAGCGCAAAGGCATCTTCCAGCACCAGTTGCGCCAGCCGCCACTGCTTCGTGGCCGCGGAAGGGCTTTGACCTGAACCGCACTTCGTCATCTCCAAGGGCCGCAGCGCGCGATCTGAGCGCTCCCGCGTGGAGCTTCTTTGTCGGCTCGGTGACATACGCCACTCCAGTCATTGATGCCACTGGGAACATCTTCGTCGCGTCAACGTGCGGCGCGATAATATGCATCAGTCCAGAGGGTCGCGTGCTCTGGACCTATCATATGGGGTGGGTATACCCGTCCTCCCCTGTCCTTCTGCAGGGCTCACTCTTCGTCTCCGACGGGGCGGGCAATGTGTACGCGCTCGACGCTGCGACTGGGCATCCTCGGTGGATTCGCCAGTTCGCGGGGAGTCGCGGAACGCTAGACGCTTTCTCTCTGGCTGGCGATGAAGGCATTCTCGTTGCAACAACCTGGTCCGGCGAGCCAGGGGCACCAACGGACGGTGCGACGGGAGGACAGTTGCGCGCCCTCGCGCCTCGCACCGGCGAAGACCTGTGGGTGCACGAGCTGCCCTCGTCGACGTACAACCACATGCCGATCATTACGAGTCGAGCAGTCATCTATTCCGACACCGAGGGGGCGCTGTGGTGCCTCGATCGCAGCAGCGGTGCCAGATTGTGGAGCACGCCGCCAATCACCCTCCCGCAGACAGGTCCCGCTTCCCTACCCGCGCAGCACGACGGGTCATATCACGCCCTTCCAGACTCGCTTGGCGGCACGAGCATCTCGCACGGAGGGCTGATATACGTCACCGGCAACGCCGACTGGTACACGGGCGTGGCACGCGCCTACCAAGAGACGTCGCTCGAACTCGCGTGGGAGCATACCTTCCCCGAGCTCTCCCTCGTGGCCAACGCCGCAGCGATCTCCACGATCGCGGGCGTCCCCACGCTTGTTCTTGGCGTCGGGCTGACGCCACCTCTTGGCCTCTCATACTTGCTCCACCCGGGCGCTCCGGAGGATAGTGATGGCTACGCCAGGTTCGACGGAACTTATCGCGGCAGGGTGGTGGCGCTGCACGCGACCACAGGCGCGGCGCTTTGGACCTTTGATACGCCCCCCTACAATGGGTGGATGCCCGCTGGCCAGCGGCCTGCATGGCGCGGGCTTCCGGCGCGCATCAACTTTCCAGATTCGTTCGCCTCCCCCATGGTTGGCGCGGACGGGGTTGTATACATCTCGTATGCGAATGGCGTGCTCTACGCCCTAAATGGCACCGACGGCAGTCTAATCTCCTCCTTCCAGGGCGAGAGTGCGCAGGCCGAGCCCGCCGTCGGCCCTCACGGCGAGCTGGTCGTGATGATGGGCACGACGCTGCAAGTGTTCAAGGACCCTTGACTGGTTGAAGGAACTGTTGACGTAGAAGGAATTGTTTAAGTTTCTGGACTCGACTGTCGGGCGGCGCAACGCCAATTCTTTTCCTTGCTAGTGTGCGCCAGTCCACGCCCTTGTCGTGCCAGTGTGCTGTGAGAGAGGCGGGGCATCAGAATTCGTGCGCGCCAGTCCCGTGCCCAGTGTTGTGCGAGAGAGGTAGTGCACCAGACTATCTCTCCCGCAAGCAAGCCTTTCCGGATCCAGCTGAACGAGCTCTTCTTTTAGCATGAGCATCTCATGGTCTTGCTATGATCCGCGGTCGCAAATGGAGAGGAGGACTCGGGGAACGGGAACTGGGGCCCGGCGGAGGGAACGCCGACCGATTTTTCTCCGGTTGCAGGGGAGTTCGTACGTCTTTTAGCTTATAGGGAGAGGGGGGGGGGTGATGGGGGGGTGTTCTCTAGGCCCCTTAAGGCCAGTGCTCAATATTTACCGGTATGAGAGTTTTTGGCTAATCAAGCCCTACCTAGGCCTGCACTATATCAAAAAGTGGTACGGGATACATGTACCACTTGCCTCATTTGTGGGTTGGTGTAACGGCACAGGGTGGTTGTTCTCTCTATCTCCCCTTCTAGCTCTTAGCATGAGCTGCGCCCTGTGTCCGACCCCTTTTGCGCAGCAACACCTTAAATTTCATGGCCCTCCAAATTCGGGTCGGAGCGTAGCGGAGTGGGCCCCGAGTTTGAAAAGGGCGACTCAGACGCTTGCGTCCTAGCCTCCAACAACGCCTCCCCGGCGCAGAGGGGCCCCCGGAGGGATGCTCAACCGCACCACGCCACGCGCTTGCAGGTCTCCTCTTCCCAGCGGCTCAAAACCCGCCGTTCTAACTGCCATGTCACGGCCGGTCGTCGGCTGCTGCTCTCGCCTCGCTGGCGGCGCGGTCTAGTGCCGCGGCTCCCAGCTCTCCGGTGGGCTCGCGGTGGCTCGCCGCCGTGGATCTGAACAATATGATCGCTCCGGGTTCGTCCCGGCGTTGCCGCCAGTGCCGCTTCCCTCAGCATGTTTGTCGACAAAGTTGCCCCTGAGCTCCTTGCGGTAGGTAGACATTCTACCTCCCATCCAACCCACCAAAACCCGTGTGGATGGGTTTTACCGCCGCCTTTTACCATCCATAGCCGTCGGGTTTTACCTCGCGCTCTCTTGGTGTCGTCTATGGTTTGCTAGACCCATGAGACCATCCTCACCGCGCTATCGGGCGCCTCCACCGCCGCCCTCAGCCACGCCGCTACGACCGTCGGAGGCGTCAACTCCGCCGTCACATGGTAGCGGCGGAAGGGGGGCATGGCTCAGCCAGGAGGCTCCATCCACCCTGCCCAGTGGGAGCAGCAGGCCTACTGCTACCCGCAACCCGCCGGTGCATACGGCGCCATCCCGCCCCTCTGCGGAGGCGCAGGCACGTACCCGTCTCAGGCCTGGATGCCACCAGCAGCGCCACAGCCGCCGCCCGCGCCAGCACCGCCTCCAGCGCCTACGCCTGGTGCCGGCGCCGCGCCCCCACATGGGAGGTGCCTCTGCTGCTGTGGCATGCCTCACGGCTGCGACTGGCCGGCGCCTCGGCGCGTCAGCTCGGCTCGGCGTAGCGATAGTGGCCAGCGCAACTCGCCTGGACTCAACGCTCAGCCAGGAGCTCCCACACGCGCTGGCGCGAGTCATGGCGCATGCAACGCGTCTGAATGCTCGCCTCGCCTTGCGCAAATGCGACCGTCCTCGCCGCCGACAGTCCATCGCCTGCTAAAGAAGCACTGCGACGAATGCGGCACCGGCGACGCATGGCAGGCTGGTCATGACGCAGTTATGGGGTGTTGTGTGCCATCAGAGTGACTCTCTGTGTGTCAGGGATAGTCAGGGCCGTCCATCAGAGCTCCAGTAAGCTCGGAGACACCCCATTAGTGCGACTCGACCTCTTTGAGTCACTGCCTTCCCGGCGGGTTGGCTGTAGAGCCTCTACAACAAACTCTACAACAAAATCGCGCTCTACATCGCTCTACAACGCACGCAGTTCGTCCCGTGCCCGATGTAGAGCTCTACAGCTCTACAGCGCTCCAGAGCGCTCTACATCTCTACAGCTCTACAGCGCTCTACACTCTACATCCTCTACACCCTCCCTCAGCCTCAGACTCGGCTCAGAGCCCGGAAAAATGGTTCAAAAATGGATGGTTTCCCCGGAGTTTCCCCAGGAAACTAGAGGGTGCTGTAGGGAAACTAGCAGGAAACACAATTTGGCCTGCCAGTGTCTGTCTGGCCTGCACGAGCGCCGTGATGATGCCGACGCGAGTTTACAGTGGCCAGGGGCGGGGCTTGCATTTTTGCCGTCGCCAGTCGCCCCCCCCCAAACGCTACAGCGGGGGCGGCGGCGGCGCGGGGGCGGCGGGGCGGCGGCGGCGGCGCGACGGGGTGGGTAGGGGGGTGGGGAGCCGCTACCGTGTGCGCTGCGCGTGCGCGCCGCACCGCACACCATACGGCGGGAAACAGACGGCGAAGGGGGGCGCGGCGGCAGCGGCGCAGCGCGCGCGCGGCGCGCGCGACGGAGGGGCGGAGCAGCGACCGCTGGCGCGGTCGCTGCTCCGTCTGTCCCGGAGCGCCGTCTGCGCGGGGTGCGCGTCAGGAGAGGGGGCAAGCGTGGCGGCGGGGCGGCCGGGCGAGGGCGCGGCGGGTGACGGGGAAAGGGAGCAGCCGGGCGACGAGAGGTAGGAG